TTTTTTGCCTAGAATTTCACTGGAAGTTCACCATGGATTGCAATTGGTTCAGTATTTAACACTTCAAAATTTCAAACCAGGGTTGATATTTTAATTAAATTACATAGCAAATGATTCTTGAAATGTAGTCAGTTTTTTTTATTTGGCCGAACTAAAGGCAAATTGATGAAAATAGTGTTTGAATTTGATGACCATGTCAAAGCACACATATTCACAATTATCTGCAACATTTCATCATTAGGGCGTCCCTAATGGTTGACTATTTGGCTAACTATTATAGTATGATGTAGACATGGGAAAAGTAGAAAGAGAGAGTAGTCACTAGCGACGAACATAAATAGTTTATTTATTTCACGTAGACCAAGATCATGTGAGAGGAGTATGTGGGTCCAATAGTTTAAAATAGTTATTTTTCTTATCTCTTATATCCACGTCAGCTGACCATATAGCTAGTAATAACTACTCTCTCCATTTTGAAATATAAGACATATAAGGAATTCTCAAATTTTTTGAAATATAAGGCGCACATCAAAACTAAGGCAAATTATTTCATTTTCTGCCAAATATACCTTCATTTATAGCTGCAACCATAACAATAAATACATAGTGATTTTCAATAAATAAGGTTAATTTAGTCAATTTACTTATTAATTAATGTCTCCTTAATATTTGTGCAAAAACATTAAACGCCTTATATTTCAAAATGGAGGGAGTATTACCATTGGGATGCCCTAATTATTAGTCAGCAAAGTATTTGCTAGCTGCAAATACCAAGATGTCAGCCAATATAAAATAAATTGGTCTACCAAAGATAAATGTGCCGTTAGATGGAAAAAGCATGGTATATTTAGGCATAAATATGCCAGTTTCCAAAGTTTCAGTCAAAGGAGCTGCAGCCTGAAAGACTATGGCTGCGACACTGTTAATGTTTAATGTATTACAATTTACAATAAAAATACACTACTTAATATCGAACTTTTGTGTGTATATATATACACACGACTCACACACACATAGTCGACACAACTCTGCCCCTCGCTCGCCGCTCGCCGCTCGCCGCTCGCCGCCACCACCTCCTTCTGCCGTCGATGCACATTCACTGAAGTTCCTACCTAGAGGAGGCCCGCGGCGCCGCTCACCGGATCCACCGTCCTCCGACAGTCTAGAAATAGACCAACAGAGATGAAAACATATTGGAGATAGATGGACATGAGAACGTGGACAAAAATTCAATTTGTGGATTTTTTTTTTCTTAAAAAAATTAGATAGGTTTGAGGGACCTAATTACAATGTTATTAATATTAATTATATTACAATTTAGTACATCAATCCTGCTCAATAAGGCAATTGTTCGACTCAATTCGACTAGTTTGCTGTCTACATATGATCCACGTAGGGGCCAAACATGATTTTTCTAATAAAGTGTTAAACTATGCGGTGTCTCGCCAGACGAATAACTTATTACAATCATTCACAACCCAAAAACTTTACCGACTCTTCTGAGTCTTTAAAAACAACATATATGAATTAAAAATCATACATTCAGGCCACGATAGTCAAGTTCAAGAATATCAAGAAATTCTATTTTGTAATTCTAATCTACTATACGTTGCGCTCATACACAATTAATTCACATATGTCACGCAAGTCCTAATTGAATAGTGCACAAAGATGAATTAAGTTTGGGCTCTGATATTAGTTGTTAAGTTCCATGAGGAACATCGTCGATGTACACTTTCAAATATAATGAATTAAATCTTAGCACAATGAACTCTATAATTAGGATTAGGACTTACATTTTATAAATTTTGCCGACTCTGATAGGTTTCTGATTTTCTTTGATAGAGATCGTCTGAATGCACAACGTCCTCGAACCTCGATCTTGACTTGCGCGTCGCTTTCGGTTGCTCGTAGCTCCCATAGGACCATCTCGGACCTCTTCTGGCTTAGTCGAACCACTCGAAACTCATTGTGGACTCACTTGGACTGTTGGATCACTGCTGAACAAGACTATGGTCGAAACATGTGTTGGACCCTGGTTGGCGCTGGAGGTCGAACAAACCTGGGTCTGCCGGCTGTTGGGCTTTATTCTTCGTCTGGGGTCGCTGGCAGATAGACCTAGGTCGTCTGGTACACAGGTCGTGCTACACGCACGGGCGCTAGGCTGCTGGTCGAGTGGGGCTCGCGGGTCGCGTTGGGGATGAACGCGGGTCACGCGTAGACTGGAGAACCCACGTGGGCTGGACACACACGCGGGCCTGTGCGCGGACCGCGTACGTTGGAGAGGGTCTGGGCTGCCCGATGCGCGTATGAGCCACGCGCTGGGTACCCGTTTGGCTTGGCTGCGGGTTTGGTCGCGATCGGGGCTGGTTGCTAGCCGACATCAGGTTGCGGTCGAGGTGCGGCTGACTACGGCATGTATGGGATGATGATTGTCTGTCTCCGGTGGTCATAATACTCGATTTACATGAAGAACGAACAATCCCAAATAAATGTGTATATTTCCGGGGTACGATATATTGTCCTGAATACAAACAAAAGACTAAACAATCTCATACTCTATTACCCAAACACATTCCCCAAATGATCTTGGTGGAGCGATCGTACAAAACTCTTGAATCTCACAAACTCTCAAGAATTCTCAAAGTGGTCGATCGGTTCTCTTGGGAGAAGCCAATCGTGTATTATGATTTTTCTTTGAGACTTGGTGTATTTATAAGATATAGTAGAGAACCCAATGAGGTGTTAAACATGGGCTCCCCAAGTATGAGCCTAACTGTGGGCTAAGCCTACTCCGCTCAATACTCGAGTAATAAATCATTCCAGTAGAAAAATATATATGCACTCTCAATTTAACTCCAAATTACAATTAACTTATTTCCCAATTTATTGTCGATTTACATTCCCGTATTTATGATCTAATGTCTGTTGATTAATTTTATTACTGACAATATAATTCATCAACTTCTATATCCGAAGCTAGTACCACTCAATATTTATCATTATGCCGAAACTTAATCCGTCTGAAAGATTTGACATAACGATCATCTTGAGATTACTTTGGGGACATCATCAACACTATCTTTCGGGATTCGGTGTCTGTAAACAGTATTGCCAACACATCATGCAACCAACATTACTTACCAAAATATAGAGTATGTCGACCTACCAGAATAAATATCACCCTTGATAAATCAAGTAAGTAAGTGACGACTACATATGCCCATACATTGTCTTACGCGTTAAGACTACGCAACAAATAATGATGTCTAGATTATTTACTTGCTCATTATAAAATAATATTATCCCTCTGTGGGTCATTCAATATGTCCGAGATGTACTAGAGTAATCCATTAGTCGGAGATCAACTAATTCTAAGATTAAACTACAGTCTTTCACGACAGGGAGTTCAATTCTCGTCTAGACTGAGAACCATTATTTATATTTTACAAGGAACCGATAATATGGTATCATTGTTCCAAACTCGTTACCATATTATATACAATGTAAGATAATAATATCTACAATATACGATAAAAGAACAATGTTCGCATAAATAAATTAACTGCAAATATTAACTTGACTAAAATGTGATTTCTCATTCAAAATGATATTGTAAGAAAATGAAAGCCGAGCTTTTACAGTAAACCCAAACATCGGGTTGGTTAGTCGACCCTAGAGGAGGGTTGTGATCGAGTTCGAAGGTCTAAAATCCAACATCACTAAGGCCTTCAGATTGGTTCGTCGCTTGTTTGAACGACTCCAGTCAAGGATTGGATAAGTGTTGAAGACCAAAATACAACTTGACTAAGGCTTTCGGGCTAGTTGGTTGACCACGAATGAGGTTTGTGCAAACATCGAAAACAAAAATCTAGCATGACTAAGGCCTTTGGATTGGTTGACCGACCCTAGAGAAGGGTTGTGCAAAGACTAAAGACAAAAATCTAGCATGACTAAGGCCTTCGGGCTGGTTGGTCGACGTTGATGAGGGTTGTGCAAAGATTGAAGACCAAAAAACCAGCATGATTAAGACCTTTGAGCTGGCTAGTCTACCCTAGAGGTGGGTTGTCCAAGCGTCGGAACCTTGATGGTCAAAGGTCGAAGGCTCGCAGTTACATACCTCAAAAGCTTGAATTTTGGAGACCTCAGTGGCAGGTCGATTATGGTGACTTAATTGTCTAAATTACATAATTTTCTAAACGGTGAATTATTATTTTGGAGATCTAAAGTAGTAGGTTGATTAAATTGAATTAATTAAGTTCGCATGATTGTCTAAATGGTCAATTATTATTTTGGATACATCAGTGGAAGGTTGATTAAGGTGACTTAATTATGTTGAAATTTTGCTAAATATTGGGCTAGTTGTAAGATCTCAAAAGCATGTCGATACGCATGACTTCAATTTAATGGTGTATGTCATTGAGTAAAAGATCTTTCATTTGATAATAAAAAACATGGTCGATAAAAAATACCGCCAAAGTTCAGTAAAAAAAATGGTAAAATTACAACATGTTATTATGGAGGATTTGAAGTTTGGTCTAAAGTGGTCGAGGGGGCTTGTTGCTCAAAGGTTTGCTCAGAGGCCGCTTTATGGTTTTGGGGCCTCAATGGCTTGAAATTTTATAGATCGACCTTGATGAGGTGGAGCTGCAGTTCGAGGAATGGGGAGATTAAACTTCTTCTTGTGTTTGTCGCGAACAAGACACCGCTCGAGCATTTTCGTCCACCAAACATGGTCAGCACGAAGACCATGCTCTCCCACGTAGCTATTGGGGTAGTGGGAGAGCTG